GAGCATGTCGAGATCAATTATGTGGCAGATTGAATATGCATCTCTTATTCGACCTCTGATGCTTGAATATATGAATATTGCAATATGTTCTGATACTTCACAACCGCAAACAATATCTGATACTTAGTACATTTTTTCACATTTAAGAATTTACATAGATATGTCCTTAAGGCTTATAGTTCTTTTGAATTGAGATGTTCAATCATTGCTTTATGGGAGAATTTTTCCCTTCTATGTCACACAAAGCATGCATGATGAAGAGAAGCATCTTGAGGAATACATGCATATGCCCTTAAATTACTTTATTGTTTAAGCGAACTTTTTAACTGTTATACATTCACTGAGGTCACCTGGTTCTTCACTTATCAGGAGAAAATATAGTCATCACTCTTGTCTCAAGAAACTTCTAGATTTATCATCGATACTGTATTCTGAAGTTACATTTAAGTATTTTTAGAACTTGCATTTGAACGACTTCATTTAGTGACCACTAAAGGTTGCACTAAATTCCAGGATATTGATGTTTTAAATGGCATTGCTTGGGATGAGGAAGATAACCGCCTATTTGGTAATTTTTAGTGCTCCATTTTCAATTTTGAGAACAAAATGTTGCTTGCATCCAACTTTCTTTTGAAATAGGGCAGTTGACAAGTTATTCATAGACAAATGTCTTGACATGTGTTTGATAGTGTACATCTTTCTTTGCTATGTTCTCAGTGACAGGGAAGTTATGGCCAAAGCTTTATGAGATTAAGTTGCGTCCTGTAACTTCTCCATTAAATGATAAAATAGAAGATATCTGCTCTATAAGAGTTTGAGGTAGAGTTTGTTTATATTACTCAGACGGCTACTTGAGGAAGAGCTGAAGCGGGTAAAGAGTAGAATTCAGACCATTTAGATCATTATACTGCCAAGGTCTTCTCAGTCCTTTTAAGGTTCAATAATGTACAGCTTTAGGAACATCACATCATAACAGGAAGCAAAGTCATTCATTTTTCTGTTTCTCCCTTCACCCTTCAGTTTTATACAATTTTACGGAGACTGGAGCATCAATGGCCTAATTTTATAAACATTTTGTTTTCTTTCTATTTTGCATCTTTTGCATCCAAGGTTCTTGGAGGATTAAGACACCATTTGTCAGTATTTCAATGATTGTTCAGTTGAATTTTACGAATTTATAGTGCTTCTTGTAACAGTTAAGTTTTACTGTTGGTTATGCTTGCTTAAGGTGGCCCTTACTTTCGGTTGGCCGGAAAGAGTTACATTATGTTGTTGGTTATGCTTCCTAAGATGTTCATTAATTAGCTTTATTACATATCTATATCACTCCCTGGCTGGACTGCAGATCAATCTTTCGGTGTTAGATCTATATTGAGTGGATCCTTTTTTTTTGACATAAAAATAGGGTTGGAAACCCTATTCAAATTAGTATGTGTGGGCGCGCGTGTGCGCAGGTGCGCGTGTGCACGCGCGGGTGCGTGCGCGCGTGTGTGTCTGTGTGGGTAGGAGGAATCACTCTCGCCAGGATCAAAGAGGGGTCTTTTAGCGTCATTTGAAACCTGATTCGGGAGTGAGTCAATCCTTCCAAGCCATCCTATACACGAGAATATACAAACTTTGTACATAAAAGAAATTATAGCCACTACTGTCACAACAAAATTGCCCCAAAAAGTGAAAGTGGCGTAGTTGCAGCTGAGAAGTAGATTAGGTGTGTGTGTGTGTGTGTATAGCAGCTAAGTTTATATCCCCCCACCGAAGTTGTCCCCCACGATGTCAGTGTCGTTCCTCAGATGATCCTGCAGCCCAAGTTGAGAGGTAGTCGCATGAACAATGCCTGCCTTCTTCTTAGCTGTGTTACTGACCAGAATACGGTGAAGAATGATAAACTAGCTGTTAATTGAAAAGGTGAGGTTGGTGTTTTGCTGAAAATCAATTCATTTCGGGCCCTCCATGTATACCAGCGGAAAATAGGGAAAACAATTTGCCATAGCAGATGGATACGTGTATCTTGCAGTAAAGATACATAGGAATGGAGTAAGCTGTCAAAATCTATTGCATTTATGTTCAAGTTAAGCTTGGATGAGATTGGTTCCCAAGCTTCTCTGGTGAAGACACAGGTGAGAGTCTGATTCTGCTGCTGATAAGCAAAAAGAGCAAGAAGTGTCGCCTAACCATCCCTTGAGGGAGAGGTTTACCTTGGTTTGCAGCTTGCGTTTGTATAAGAGCCATAGAAAGATCTTGACCTTGGATGGCAGAAATGAAGACAAATGAAGTAGTATGCTGCGAACTTGTTGCCTCCACTGAAAATGAATCTGTAGAGAGAATTGACAGTGTATTTTCCTATGGAGCTGAGAGGCCAGATGACTCCATCTGATTGGGAGCAATTCGGGTCATTAAGATGTGTTATGAGGGTTTTTAGAGCTGTGACTTCTTGGTTTTCCTCCTGGGAGATAGGTCTACAAAGGATCGGCCTCCAATGCCATTGATCATTCTGCGTTCTGCCTTGAGATCCAACACGGACATTCTTGGAGAGAGTAAGATGGTAAGCCATAGGGAACAGAGAGAAGGTATTCGCCCCAGTCCATTTATCTTCCTAAAAACGAATGTGGAGGCCATTAGCCGACTTCCATTGAACTAGAGGGTAATGTTTGGCTAGAATGGATTGTAGCGTGCCAAAATTTGGATGCATTAGCCTTAGGTGGTGTGCACTAGTGATTGATGTGAGGAAAGAGTATGAACCAGAGAGGATTTTGCCTACTAGGGAGTCTTGCTCGAGGTATTTCCACATCCCTTTGGATAGTAGGGCCTCACTGAAAGTAGATAATTTGATGATGCCTAAGCCCCCTTCTGATTTAGATTTACACACAGTTTTCCAACTAACGAGGTATTTGCCTTTGGCATATGAAGAACTCAGAGAAAATTACATTTAATATTGTCAATTTCTTTGATGAGCCAAACAGGGAGTTGGAAAAAAGATAAGAAATATAGGGAGTAGATGTAAGCATAGAATTAACAAGAGTTAAACGTCCACCAATAAAGAGTTGTCTACTTTTCCACATGGATAATTTCTTAGCCAGAGTGTCAACAAGAAGTTGCCAATCATTCCTAGATAGGGATCCTTTCTTAAATGGGACACCAAGATATTTGAAGGGGGGTTTGCTTAGGGGACACGGGAAAGCAGATGCAAGGTGATGGCCTTTGTTGATAGATTTTTCAAAGTTAAAAAAGATTGGTCTTAGAGTAATTGATCCCTAGACCTAACACACTCTCAAAGAGATGAAAATGGTTTTAAGGATAGAAATGTCATCATAGAATGCCTTGCACAGGACAATAGTGTCATCAGCAAACTGTAATGATATAATATTATTGAGTTCTCCTCTTAGGAACAATTCCGACAGATCTCTTGAGGCTACACTAGCTTTAAGCATTTTGTTAAGCACATCAACAACCATGATAAAAAGCATAGGGGAGGGAGGGTCCCCTTGCTTGATACTCCTGAAAGCTATGAAGGAGTTGGTAGATGTATGTTAGATCCTAGAGAGGGGGTGATTAGGGTCTTATGCTAATCTAATCCGATTTAAATGTCAATTGAATCTTATTATCAAATTATTCTTGCAAGATAGATATACAATATGTTATAAGCAAGAATATACAATATGAATAAAGAGATATATCCTAACAAAGATGTATATGATGAAATATATTCAAGGATATATAAATTAACACAAGGGTAAACAATCTAAACTAGATAGTGGACAATATAAGCAACAAGCATATACAAAAGCGATATAAGATATGAACATAAAAATAAGTACACCAATGCAATCACAAACAAACGATATGATCACGGAGTTCGGTCCCCACGACCTATGTCTCCGCTTCTCACCTCGAAAAGATCTTCACTATCACAACCGGGTTTTCTATGCTCACCCGAATAACGTTTACACCACACAAATATCGGTTTTTAACGCTTACCGATCAACGTTCACAATCTCACAATGTAACTACACTCCACACCCTCTAAGTGTTGGTCTCTCCCAGCCGCCGCCTCTCTCACTCTCTCTCACTCTCCTCAGCCACGGTCCGCCCGCCTCTCTCACTCTCCCAGCCGGGTTCGAGCAAAATTTGCTTTGAAGAAGATTTGGATGCTCTTGAGAAGTTAGACATAGGTATTTACCATTTATGTTTTTGTATGTTAAATGATTTGATTTTTATTAACTTTTTATTTGTTTATCTTTCAGATTTGGGCAAGCTTTCAATTGAACCGACAATCACAGATTTGTAAGAGCTTTCATGGAAGAACACAGGTAAAAATAAAGTTGTGATCTTTATGAATTCAAGTGTCTCCATAATATTACATGAAGGTTGCAATTCTCCTCAACTTACTATGAGTTTTGAGTGGAGAAAATCTGAATATGCTTTAAAGTAATTTTCTTGCTATATATAATGTTCTGATCTAGCTCTTGGTATATGCAGTTCAGTTCATAAATATGCTTTAAAGTAACTTTCATGGAGTAATTTTCTTGTATATTGCTTTTGAAGGGATGGGAAGTATCGGCCTCAGATTACTATAAAACTTAAGTCCCTTGTATTACAACAACAATAATCCTCTCCTTGTGCTCACAGCTCATCATCCATAGACTTTATCCTCTCGTGCATTTTAATATATAAATTTCTCTTGTTGTATGTAGATCAGAAGCAACCACATTCTTTTCAATCTCACAATGTAACTACACTCCACACCCTCTAAGTGTTGGTCTCTAGCCCGTGTCTTTCCTCAAGTGCTCGGAATTATCACCTCTCTCTAGGCTTTACTACCGACCCCACTCCTTTTGGAAGTGATCCCATCTCTCACCACACATTCCTTTCGGTGTACTAGTGTAATACAAAGTGAATCTCACAATAAGCACAATACAACAAATGATTGTTCTCTAATATGGATGAGAACACGATGTAAGCTCACTCTCAATTGTTACAACTCCCCAACCTAATTATACAATGTATGCAAATACAATAAGCTCAATGATTGTGTGTAAAAGCAATGAGAAAATCAATCATAAACTCAATGTAAATCCTAGCTTGATAAAAATGATAAACAACAAATAATTAATATAAAGCTAGTATTGAGTTTAGAAATTCTTCTCTGAAGAAACAAGATGGAGAGATGGATTAAAATGAAGCTCAAACAATGTAGATGATTTCCTCCACTTGTGAAACAATCTTCACAAACCAAACAAACTTTAAACCAAACTTAAACCCTTGTTAAAACTCTTTTAAACTTGTTTTAAAACATTCCTCTTCAGTTATTTAGAACTGAGGATATGTGAGGGTATTTATAGGAACCCCAAAGCCAAGAGAAAACAAAGCAAAAAGACCAAAAACCCAAAAACAGTACAGTCTGAAAATATAGCCATTACAGTGTTATGAGTCGATTCGGTATTGTTCATGAGTCGACTCATAAGTAGCCGTTACAGGCTAAAAATCAACTTATGGGTCGACTAATAAAATGAACAATTTTTCAAAACAGACCGCTTTAGAGTTTTATTTTTCAAAATCGACCGGTTTTTTTTTTTATTTACCAAAACCGACCCGATTTTGTGATTAACAGCCTAATCACCATCCTTAATAGTCGGGGTTGGCAACTCCGACTATTTAGGAGGGTATTAAACCCTGATTAGATGCCTTAAATACTAAAAATTAAGGTCCTAAATAGTCGGGGTTGCCAACCCCGACTATTTAGGAAGGTGATTAGCTGGTTAATCACAAAATCGGGTCGGTTTTGATAAATAAATAAAAAACCGGTCGATTTTGAAAAATAAAACTCTAAATGGGGCTGTTTTGAAAATTTGTTCCTAATAAAATTCATGAGTCCACCCATCATGCATGGGTCGACTCATGAAGTCATGTGTCGACTCAGCAGAAACAAAACATACTTTCCAGCACAGTTTATGAGTCGACTTATGACAGGCATGAGTCGACTCAACTTGATGGGTCAACTCATGATGTTATAAGTCAACTCGTCAGAAACAACATGTAAACTACACAACAGTTTATGAGTTGACTCAACACTGTTCATGAGTCGGCTCAAGACATGCACACTGTCTGTTTTAAACAGAAATCTGATTTTCAAACCTCTTTTAAAAATAGCAAATAAAATCAGAAAAATTTAAAACTTTGGGATATGATTGTAAACATGATAATAAACATGCTACAAAAACTGGTTTTCAAAAAGGACCTCCCAAATAGAAAATATCATTATTTTGCAAAATAGTTCAAAACATGAAAATGTAAATACATGAGTTTTGACATTTTAGCTAAACCATGTTTTGAAACATTACAAAATGATTTTGTAGACTTAACAAAAGATGTATATGATTATTGTTAAGTCCAAAAACAGAGAATACAATATTTTCACAAATACAATAGAATATAAAACATATGAGTATGTATATGAATATATATTTGTTTCATATCTATGAAATTAAACCAAAACATATTTGTATATATATAACTATATATATACAAAACCAAAACGTGTATATGTGTATATGATTGAGCTTAAAGTACTAACACACATAATATAAACCTAAACTAAATATACCCAAGCTATGATCTTGATTTTCAATAAGGTCTTTTTGGTAAACTTGCGGATGAAGCTTGAACTTGGATCTTCAACTTGAATTGCAAAGCTTCAACCACTATTCCGTCAACCTTCATTGGATATGATCGTGAATGCTCGATTCTATCCAACCCCCAACATGTTGTTTGTCTACAATAAATAGATAAACACAAACACTAGACAAACAGCATTAGTGGTAAATTATTTGTTAAACATCATCAAAACAAAGAGGCCAGCAATGTACCATTAAAAATAATGAAAGATCTGGCTGAGGAAAGAATATGGCTGACCCAATTGCACCATTTAGGGCCAAATCCTCTAGCAATCAGAAGGCCAATGATGAATTGCTATTTGATGCAGTCAAAAGCTTTAGCCAAATTAACTTTGATCATGCTGATTCCCTTTCTTTTGGATTCACAGAGGTGCAAAAATTCGTGGGCAAAGACTCTAGAAAGCTGATTGGGAAGGATCTACAAGGGATGACAAATGAGGGGAGAGTCTGCTAGCTAGGACTTTAGTGAAAATTTTAAAGTGACCCTTAAGGAGACTAATTGGTCTGAAGTTGTTGACTTTACAGGTCCTTCCACTTTGGGTATGATGTCTATAAAGGAGTAGTTGATGTGATGAGAGGGGAAGCATCCTTTGTAGGGCTTGGAAAAGAGAGAATAAGTCATTGCTGATTGTATCCTGAAGGATTGATAAAATAATATGGGAAAGCCATCTGGACCTAGGGATTTGTCAGGGTGGAGACCAAAAACAGCTGCTTTAATTTCTGCCATACTAAAAGGTTCCTCTAAAGAGTGCAAACCATCTAAAGAAACATGGTAGAGAGTTTTCCAGTCTAAAGAGAAGGACGGGAAGATCTTGGCAGAGAAGAGATTAGAAAAATAGTCTACAAAAGCTCTCTGCTTATCCATCTCATCAGTAATGAAGTCATCATTGTGCAAGACATGAGGGATGAAAATTTTCCTTTTTGTGGTGTGAGGCAGCTTTATGGAAGAAGGAGGTATTGTTATCTCCCTCGTATAGCTAGAGGAGTTTTGGATATCTGCTTCAAATAAAGTTCCTCAGATTTGGCATTAGTGGCCAAGTCCTGTCTAAGTTTGGACCTGAGAACTCTTTCAGAGTGAGAGATTCCTGGATTCCTCCAGCACACCCAGGGACTGAAGAGATAGGAGAATTGATTTTTTAGTCTAAGACATAGAGCCATATATGTGTTTGGTCCATCACTTAAGTCTTCCTTTAAGAAGTTTCAATTTAAAGGAGAAAGAGAGGACAATGTTCTTAATGCAGGTGAAGGATAGCCAACAATCCGCAACAAAGATTTTGAAAGAGGGATATGTGAAAAATTTCCTTTTGTGGTGTGAGGCAACTTTATGGAAGAATGAGGTATTGTTATCTCCCTCGTATAGCTAGAGGAGTTTAGATCTCTACTTCAAATAAAGTTCCTCAGATTTGGCATTAGTGGCCAGGTCCTATCTAAGTTTGGACCTGAGATCTCTTTTAGAGTCTGAGAGATTCCTGGATTCCTCCAGCGCACCCAGGGACTGAAGAGATAGGAGAATAGATTTTTTGGTCTGAGACATAGAGCCATACATGTGTTTGGTCCATCACTTAAGTCTTCTTTTAAGAAGTTTCAATTTAAAGAAGAAAGAGAGGACAAGGTTCTTAATGCAGGTGAAGGATATGCAACAAACTGCAACAAAGGTTTTGAAAGAGGGATATGTGAACTAGACTTTTTCAAATCTAAATTTTGGTTTGGGGAAAGTCCCACCAATGTCCAAAATAAGAGGAGTATGATCTGAGCATTGCTGAGGGATAAGCGTATTGGATAAGGGAAGGGAATTGGGCTTCAAAATCAATTGATACGAGGAATCTATCAAGGCGAGCTAAGGATTATCTCTCATGTTGGACCATGTAAATTGACGACCACTATGGAGGATATCCATGAGGAGAAGAGAGTCAACTAAGCATTTAAAGGAGTTTATATCTCTCATTGAACCTGTTTTACCTCTTCTTTCCCATGGCCAATGAAAGATTTGTCTGATTCTCTCTATCTTCCACCAACACACTCTTCTTTCTTCTAGATCATGGGGGGCATAGATGGATGTGACTATAAATTTCCAGTTGGATGGTTTATGAATGAGAAGTGTAGAGACAGAGAAGATACCCACAAAAGAGTCAATACATTGGAAGAGGGTGTTGTTCCATCCTAGAAGCACATCACCTCTAGTGTCGATTGCGTCTAAACTTAGTCATTCGTTCAATCTATTACCTCCTAAAGCATTAAGTGTTCTATTTCTAAGAGCAGTGAATTTGGATTCTTGTAAGCCCACTAAATCCACCCCTGAGAAGCTAATACAATTTCTCACTAATCTTCTTTTTGCGGGGTCATTTAAGCGACTAACATTCTAAGAACCTATTTTCATTGAGAATATTAAGAACGTTGCGGGTGGGGTGGGGGTGGGGGTGGGGGTGGGGTGGGGGGGGTTCACAGGTAGAGTGTCCCGAAGAGCGGAGGGTTAGGATGTTGCATCTCCCCTTTCTAATTCCATGTACTTCAACTCGGAAATACCTTAAAATAGGTATGGGTTCCTTAATACCACAGTTTGCAGCAATATTAATCAAAGAATCTTGAGTTAAGGAATTAATAGGGCGGGTGGAGGTAGAGGAAGATGACTGACCATTCTTAGTTGTCGTAGCATAACCTCTGCTGTAGGCCACCAGGCAGCGGTGAAGAGGCTTGTGTGCCAAGGATCTCGCTTCTGGTTTCCTCTTCCTCTTGATGACTCGTTCAAAGCTTGGTGGAGGAGCTAAAAACGAAGAGGACTCTATGATGTGGTCAAAGCTAGAGATGGGGATGTTGGGGTCTTCAGTTGGAGCAGGCTCCATGTGGGCTACAGGAAGATGACTTGGGTCTGCAAATGGACCAATTAGATGCTGGCCTATGGGCTTCAGAGCTTGAGAGCAGACTTTATCCCAAAAGTTCCTATCCATAAGGAATTTTTGACCCTCGCAGACTATCTCCACTTTGTCGAGGTTATGTGGGGTTGGGGAAACTTACTCCGAGGGTCCCTCTCTAATTGGCGTATTCCCACATGCTGGATTAGCTGTAAGCCTGTAACCGTATCCTTCCTCTCTTCCCGCTATATTTGAATCGAATGCAATTACTATTTTGCCCTTGAGGTTAACCTGAGGAGTAGGCACTGGAGGATGCTGAGCCTGGGGAGAGTCTTCCATGATTAGTCTAATGAGGGGCTGGTTGACTGCATTATCAGCGAAGAGGTTGTTACAAACGACACTCATACTAAAGTTGGAAGAGGGTTCTCCTTCTCTCATTACGAATGAGGCCCATTCTCCTTCAGAAGCTCTGCAACCGTAGTCGCCTTACCAATCATGGTGATGACCGCCTTGTCTTCCGTCAGCCAGTTATTATCGGGGAAGATGTAGCTAAAGGGGATAAAGTGGGGGATGTCCTGTTGACATTTAACTTTGAGCAGGACCTTCCGGTCTTTGGCTTCATCTTTGGCTTAGACATCTTTTGAAAAGGCGTGGATCTCGTCGACATCTTTGAAGAGAAGTGGCAGGAAGTTTCTATCCCAGAGGTGGTAGGGAAGAGAGGATATCTTCACCCAAATGAATACTGGATCTGCGAAGATATGCAGGCCTTTCCTCTCACTTCACTTGGCGAAGGAGCCTCCAAAGGATCCCATGTCCACAAACTGGGAAGAGACTACTTTCTTGAGGAAGTCGTGGGAGGAGAATTCTACAAGGAAGGATCCTTTGACAGTGGGGACAATGCTTTCTTCCCACTCCTTGACGTTGTAGACATACTCCAACATCTCCCTCAGTTCGGTAAAAGAGGGGTCTCCATTCTTGAGAGTGAGAATGGCGAAATTGGAGAGTTTAGTGATATTGTCCTTCATTGATTTAGGGAGGGGGATGGTGGGAATAGGATGAGAAGAGGGTTGATAGATGAGGGGGCAAGATCTGAAGTGTGACCGACTTCTTTGCATCTAAAACACAAGAAAGATTCGGTCTTGCACTCGTTTGCCATATGATTAGGGTTGCACAAAAAAGCAACGTTTTTTCTTGGAGGAGATGAGAGGATGATGTTGCAACTGGGCAGATCTAGGTCTTTGAGCCCTTTTCTTGTTGATCACTAGAGTCCAAGGCTCTTCTAAGGCCGAGGGAGGCTTGAAGTGGTCAGGAAGGGGGAGAATGCCTTTAGATGACGGCTGTGGAGTGAGATTTTTGAAGAGATTGGTGAAGGATGTCAAAAGGGGGTGAGTTGTTTAGTTGTGAGGGGGGTGAATGCTTTGGAGGGAGGTAGAATCTGAAAAGTTTGCTGAGGAGGTGAAGTGGGTGGGAGATACCTGTGGGGAATAACTCTCTTAATAGTGATATCCCCATTAATGAAGCTCACCTGACGCTTCAAATCTAGTGCCGCTGCAGCCTTGTTCCTCCTTACATGTTTCACCGTGTCTCTAACTATGAAATTGGTTAACTCTTGATTATTGAGTGGATCCTTTGCGAAGGGAGATTTATCCATATTATATTCGGCGTTTTCTTTTTTTCTCTATTTGATTATGTGGATCTGTGAGAGAATGTTGGGTCAAATACCCATGTTAAATATAAACAGCAAGGGAGAAAATTGGGAGGAAAAGTGAAATGGTTAACCAATATCTAAAAAATGCAAAACGAATACTCAAATTTCTAAAAAATCTTAAGTAACTTTTTGAAAATCTATACCTTAATTTTCAAATACTAGAAAATTCCAAAATTTCCCCCCTTTGAACTTTTCTTTATTTATTTCCACTTCCCATTTCACTTTCTGACGTTGTCATACTTCCAAAATACAATTCCTTGAGGCAAACAAATCCCAATCTTAACATTACTTCTTCCTAGTGTATCATAAGGACATGTCCCCGCGCATTCCGGTGCAATACGCTTCCTGAGTTCCACAGAACTGATTGAAAGCTCTTAGAGATAATTATTAAAATGATTCCAGAGACTTAGCTTACAGCCACCGATTTATCAGATTAAAAGACAGGGAATCAACAAACTGCTTATTTATTCTGAATACAGTAAGTACCCTAGAAAAAGGGTTCGAGACAAAATTATTCTGATTACTCCAAAACAATATCCCAAACACCGGATATTTGCGAATTCGTGGTTGTTTTTGTAGGTCCAGAGCACTAGAAACAGTACTAAATACAACTGACAAAGATGGACGCTCTCAAATCGACGTCAAAATAACTGAATTCATGAAATGTGAACTCACGCCCGCAGACGGTTCCGATCGTAAATAAAATATCTCAAACAGAAAACTTGACCCTGAAACAGCAACACTTAACAACTTATTTTCTATTACTGGCCAAAAGACTTATAAACATTATTGCATCAGATGTAACCAAGAAATTTTACATAGCAACCGTGAGCTTGCAAACAAATAAAAGAACAGAAGTGAAGAGGAAGATGGAGACTCCCATCTCCACTGATTTTACAAGGGTGTGAAGATGCTTGCAGCACACAATGCAATCCCTTGGTCCAGCTGGTTAGATAACTACCCTTGTACTTCATGCGATACCTCTCTATGTCACTCGTCACACGTTTATGAGAGCCCTTCACAAACAAATGAGATGGAGAACAAGCTGCTCAGAGCCAGGTACTTATGGTCTCAGGTGGTTTATACAGTGAAGGGCCGCCAAAGCTTGAGCTTACGTGGCAGGCAGAAAGGGGAGAACCTATAGAGGGCCCTCCATAGAAAATCAAATATAGAGAGGCTGGGGATCTTGACACCTATTTCACAGCATGAATTTTAGAGATGGTAGCTAATAACTTTTCTTTTCTTTTTTTTGCCGGCACACATGTTGCTCCTGGATTTTCTCAGAGATGTATCAACATCCCATTCCTCCCTACAATATTTTCTATAGAGAATCCCTCTACAGGATATTTTCCGGCTAGCATAGCTTCTTGATGGATGATGAACTCTTTTCAAGCAATTTCTTGGAGGAATATGCAGCATAGCATTTGAGATAATTTAGAAAAATCGCCTTTTGAAACTTCTGGTGGTTGCTTGATATGAGCGCATGAGAAGCCCAACACCGATCCCTACCCCAACACACATTCCCAACCCTATCCCAACCCCAACTCTCACTCCAGCATTGAACCATGAGAGCTGGCCATCTTCATCCATGTACCAACCTCCAGGGTAATAAGTTGGTGTAGCTTTGGCGTTGGAATCGTACCCATCATCAGAACTCCCTTCTGTGAGCTGTAGAAGTCATGAGATGAAAAGGGTGCATATCGTTTAAAATCTGAAGTACATAATTTTGGAACATGTAAAAACATGATTAAAAGATGTTCAAACAATGGAAGACGTAAGGATGCACATCATTTAAAATCTCAAATATGTATTTCTGCAATATGCATTAAGAAACCACTATTAATCAAACATACAAAACAGGTAAAGGGAAAGTTCAACGTAATGGAATAAAGCAATTAACAGCTATTGAGACTAGAAAAACAGTTTACGGAGCACTAGAACGCTACGTTTGCCTCTGTTGGTGCTTGCATTATCTTTGAATCAAGAGGATCAAGAGAAATTGACACACAAAAAATTGACAACTTGAAATCAAACAAATAACAGACATACACTTCGGTCGGGATTCCTAGTTCCACATGTAAAGGAAATGATAGCTATTAAAGAACCTTCTACTGCCACACGCCTTATTGGTGAGGGTTGAGGTTACAATTTTACACTCCACCCCGCAATAGCACCCTTTTCACGTACTAAAAATAACAAAAGAAATTTAAAGTCCACTTCAAATGCATGACCGGTCACATGTAAAGGAAATGATAATTATTATAGTCCCTTCTAGTACACCACGTCCCTTCTACTACATCTCACCTTACTGGTGATGGCTGAGGGTTAAAATTTTATATTCCACATTGCCCTCACAGGGCGGGCATCTTTTTCATGGACTAAAACCTGGCCTCAGACCAGAATATATTTTTAAAATCCACTTTGATACATGGCTGGCAGACTTGAACCTAGGCTGTTTTGATATCATTTTAAAGTCCCTTGCAGCGTATCAAAACTTATTTGGAGTGGTGAGGGTTATAATTTCATACTTCAACTATAACAAGTCAAGGTAACTCTGATATTTCTCTATTGAGGAAGATTTTTAGTTTTGTTCAAGGTATAGGACAAATTCAGCAATTAACAACAAAGCTTTTATAACAAAGTTCGGTGTAGGCAACATGATTATTTTCCTAATTAAAAAAATCTCCTTGTGAGTTTAGAAACTAGGAATCTATCAATGTAAACAACCAAAAAAACCAACTTTTAGGCTTTTACCTTGCAAAATGTAGAACGATATATTCCCTATATTCTAAGAAACTATGTTTAATTTCACATGCTTTATTCCCTATCAACTCTTATTGCACTTCAACTAGTTATCCGATTCATTTTAAAAAAAGTAAGCAAGAACAATGAGAAATTACTTCCAACAAAATATTCCCTCTTAACTCATACAGATCCAATTAGACAAACAATGGCATAAACTATAAGGGCTACGGTGGATGAAACTGCATGAGTTTAAAGTAGACACCCGTCTTTTGATGCTTCCATGTTCCATCTCTTCCTGTCTCTAGAACAATCTCAATGTCGTGAGCTTCTCTGTGTTCTGAATGTCGGATGTTGGAATGTCAGATGTTGTACATGAAAAAAGGAAAATTACATATAGGATAGTGGATATCGGAGATATTTAGTAAATATTAGGGGGTTTTATATATATATAATTGGTGTGGGGCTAGACATCAATATTGCCATAAATCCAAACCCAATATTTGAAACAAATAAAAACCCTAACTGATATCACAAGTCTAATCGATTTTTTGGACCCCACCGCCGTATAATATATACTCGCCAATTTTTTCCCAAAATGACAAATAATATCGAAACCATATCAATTTTGTTGCAAGCCTTATAAAATAACATGTCAATATGTTGGGTGACATTTAAAACAAGAATCTTCTCTCTCCTCTCCCTAAATAAAAAAAAGTGGCAGAAAGAGATGGAAGAAACACAATTGAGAAGTCAAAACGATGTGGGAGAAGTGAAAGGATGAGGAAAGGGATGTTGCAAATTGAAGATGGTATTGAAGATACCTAGCTTGCATCTCACCATCAACATCTATCAACATGTAAGTAAGTTCTCTGATTAGAGAGCACAAATATAAATAAAAAGGCTGCAAGGAATGATTGACCAAATCTACGTTCAGTTTTACTCAAGTTTTGCAACTTTTCTACTAATTTCCTCAAAGACTTGTATGGTTATGGATACATAAAGGGGTGGGCGGAGAGGAATGATAGAAATGAACCCAAATGGAGGGAATGAAGTAATGTGCAAGAACTAACTGTGTTTGGATAGATGACTAGGGGAAGAGAGGCTACACTATAATTTGTGTTTGTTTAGGGTAGAGAATGGAAAGGGAAGGAATACTCATGACCAATATAATCTTTAAATAATTAATATACATAATTTCTTTATTTTCGCTAAGGGCAATTTTGGAGTATTGAGAAAGTTTTATTGAACTTTCAACCCTTCTCCTCCCAACCAGTCCACTTTAGGCGGGTTAAGAAAGTGAGAGAATTTGCCTATTTTCAAACCTTTCCTCCCTTTCCTTACAAATTAAAAATCATAAAAAAACACAACTTTTGATGGGCTTGCATTATATAACCTTCCTATCCTGTCCTGTCCCCTCCAAGACAATCCTATCCAAACTCACCGTCAGAAAAACAACTCAATATTCTTTCAACATAAAAGTAAATTGCGAGGTATGTAAAATCATGCTCTCCAATCTACCTAATCCACTTTTAATGTAGAAGATGCAGTTACTGGGATGAGGATGATTAGATTTTGTATTATGCATAATGCACTGGATTAACCCTTTTGAGATACATTTTATTTTTTAATAATGTTCTATGCATTTGACTACTATATGTCTCTTTTTCGAGTCATAGACTATTAACTTTGAAATCTTGGATGCATTGATATTTGATATCTGCGGTTGACTATTAACTTGAAATCTTATATTAGCCTTTTAAGATATCTCTGGAATAATCATGAATCTGATATTTGTGCATTTCTTTTATGACTTTTATGAATTCGTAGACATTTAAATACTATTAAAAATACCGAATTTAAAAAAGCGCCCGGGCATTGGGCACCAGGTCCAATGCCCAATAGCTTATGCAACTTTAAGTCAAGAATTCATCACCCTATGTCACTCAAAAAGGCCATCTATGTTCATTCATTAAGAATCAATCACAATAGACCTTATAACAGTTTTGTAACTTCAGTTGTATGGAGTTGGTTTTGCAGTTCTAATAACAACATGTGGTGCGCCTGAATTTGTTTATCACCTTGGAGCTTCACAATACAAATCAAGTATTTGGTTTTTAAATATCTTACGCATGTAAGTATCAAGGTTAAGCCTGCGCATTGTGGAGATTTTGAGTGTATTTCAAGTCTGACCCGAGCTCAAGTTTGCACGTTTATTTTTTGGACCTTTGAATACAAATCAAGTATTTGGTTTTTAAATATCTTACGCATGTACATATCAAGGTTAAACCTGCGCATTGTTGGATTTGAGTGTATTTCAAGTTTGACCCGAGCTCAGGTTTGCACGTTTATTTTTCGGACCTTTGACCAAATCTCTCTTTCTAAATTTTCACATTGCTCAAGAAACTGTAATTATGGCTTCTCTCTGCTATATGTATTTAGTCTTTCTCTACCCAAGAAAACTAGCTGTCTTTTTACCATTCTAAGAAACTTTACAGTTGCAGAAAGATTCCTACATCACTTTTGTTCTACAAAATCAGCAACTTCCTAATCCAAAACACAACAAAGAAAAGCAACAAGCTTCTTTCCTCTCTTAAACTCTTTCCTCCTCTCAGTTGTTAAGGAAGAAACAAATCAAAGTTGTTCGAGGACCTAAAGCATTGCGAGTGCACGCTTGCTTGGCTAACGATTGTTGAATCCCGAAGGGTGGGCCGCCAATAACCTGCTGCACCGAGAGATACTGTCAAAGGGGCGAAATCTACTCTTAAGGACAGTGCTTCTACGCGCATTGATCACACCAAGAGAAGTTCGCTTCTATCTTTAAAGCTTTTTTTCTATTTCATAGTAGTATTTCTAGTTAATTTACCAATAACCTTATGAGTAGATTTAGCAAGGATACTGTTATGGTTGCTGCTTCTGCTATTAAGTCTCCACCTGACATTCATAAAATTGAACCTTTTAATAGATCTCACTTTAAAAGATGGCAAGAAAGAGTTTTTTCTACACTTGATGTAACTAGCTATGCATTTGCTATAACTGGTCCTAAACCCAAAAAATAAAAGGACATACCTAATTGGGAGAAGCCTAATAAAATTTGTAGGCACGCTATCTTAAGCACCTTAAGTAATGAATTTTTTGATGTATACCATCCTTACAAAACCACAATTGAAATTTGGAAGAGTCTTATTAAGAAATATATCCTTGAAGATACTGGAACTAAAAATTTTGCTGTAGAAAACTTTCATAGCTTTGCTATCTCTGATGAAAAAGATATCTGATCTCAAATTCATGAATACCATGTTTTAATTGATGATCTTAAAAATGAAAATATCACCCTACCTGAAGCTTTTGTCGTTGGAGCTTTAATTAAAAAACTACCGGAGCCTTGAAAAGATTATAAGAAAGACTTAAAACAAAAGAAGAAAGAAATGAGTCTTGAAGATGTAATAATTCACATCCAAATTGAAGAAAACAATAAGGAAATGGAGAAAATTGAAAGAGCCAAGGAACTTGCTTCCATGGAAAATTTAATTGAAAGTGGATCTTTCAAACCGAAGAAACTTTTTAATAAGAATAACAACAAGTCAAAACATAACCTAAGAATTTCCACAAGACTAAAAGCAACCCTAACTCAGCTTTCAAGAAGAAAGGAATATGTTTCATGTGCGCCCGGGCACTACTCTACGCAGTGTAAGAATCGAAAGACCGGTGAGGCTCCATCCAAAACACAAACAAATATTGTAGAGAGAGATATTATTGCTGCAGTGGTCTCTGAAGTAACAAAAATTAGGTTATTGATTCCGGGGCAACCCAACATATATGTTCTGACAGAGGAGCTTACACTCCCTACTCCTCTGTTGACAATAGCAAAAACGTGCTCATGGGCGATTCGAGACCCTCATCCGTTGTGGGTAAGGGAAAAGTAC